TTCAGGCCCTGCCATTCAGAACACTGTCCTTTGTCTGAAAAAAGGGCAATGTGGCAAACCACCACATACCTCTAATCTGAGCAATGTGGAAAAATAATCATAGTTTTGAAAGACAACTTATAGAATAAAGACTAATGTTAGTTAACAGTAATAGGGATTGTTCAAAAAAGACGTCATCAAGTTAGAAATTTGGAGGGTATGGCTACGTTTCACAGTGCAGTGCCTTTCAGAGAGTCTAGAACTAGCTCTGAATTGGTACTTTTGCTTCTGAAGTGATGTAGCTACATTAGCAAAATAAAATGTCTGTGCTGGATTAGCCCTTTATAGAAGTCTGGAAGTTTGCTTCTCTGACAGGGTTAGACTGCTTCTGTTATTTGCTTAGAGCTATTTTGTGTATCCCTGTGCATTACTACATTGTGCTTTACAGGCAGTGTGCTCTTTAGCCATACTTATGCTGACAGGTTCTTTGCAAGCACGCATTTATCCAGACAAAGAAAGGTGGGATATTTGCTGAACATCAACGAGTTGCTCATGGTTATGGCAAATACCAAATAAGATACAAGTTTAATTCATTGACATCTAAACACTTATATGTTATATCCATTATTTAGGTTTTGTGAATGTTTCACCTCTTACTGACAAGGATACTAGTTATGGGTTATTGGTGTCTTTGTAAATTAGTCCTCTCTTACTTTGTCATATGATTGAGTATTTAGATACTTAACTTTAAGCACCAAACATTGATTTTTCTGAATATTATTCAATTCTCATGAAACAAAACTTACTTTTTAGATGAGTTGCAGAAACTACATAGGGCAGAAATTACAGCTGCCTGTTTCCCATTCTGCTAGTGAACGGATTTTTCCTGGATGCTTTTTCCATCCTAAGATGAAAAACGATTATACAGGTCAGAGCACATTTCAGTATCGTGAGTTCTCTTTTCTCCCAAACTCTTTCCTTTTTTTCACACTGGATTTTTTTTTTTTTGTTTTCCTCCTTATTGTAGGTCTTCCACTCCTCCTATAATCTGTTTCTCTTAATATAAACTCAGTTTTGTCTTCAAATTATTATTCTTGGTATTTTGGATGGATAGTAATGTTGTCAAGACCTTTCCAAATATATTCAGACTTTGTCTGAAAGCAGAGAAAAGCAGTTGTCATCCAGATGCCAGATGACCTACAGTATGTTGAGTATGAGCTTGGTGGTCTTGGTCCAGTTTTCTGTTGGTATTGGTGGATATCCAGCAATATACCCAGAAGTTAATGTGAACCTGCACTGTTATTGATAGAATCAGTAGAAAAACTGAAGTGAACTATAAGGTGACAAAACACCTCTTTTACCCACAGTTGTTGTTCTTTTCAGTCAGGATTAAAATGTTACAGTCATTAATGGAAGTTTGTAAAGCATAGTTCCTCATATCACATGTGTGTCAACACATTGCACACAAGGCTTTGTGTTGAATTCAGCTAAGGAAAGTCATTAAACAATAAATAATGCTGTATATAAGAAAAGTAAATAATATTGTGCATTCAGTGGAGAGAGCATGACAACTCACAGGTTTGGTACATAGAAACTACAGTAATTGTAGTAAATAGGATCAGCAGTTGTAGTAAAAAATTTGTTTCCAGACTTCAGACACCAGAATTCAGAGCAGAGAGCTGAGCTGAGGCATGCCCAGGGCAGATGGAATTCAGGAAATATAGATGTCACGTGACAACTGAAATGTAACACTGAAAAAGATACAAATGCTTAGAAGTGTTCCTGGTTAATAATTTTGCTTTAATTCATAATCCAACAGGAAACAAAGGTGACAATTACGGTAATATAATTTAGTTTTGAAGTTGTGGAATTGTTCAAATATACGTTCTGCAGGGTGATTTACTAAAAATATATATTTAGGTAATGCAAAATTGTTCTCCATAATTATTAATTCCCTTTAGATCGCAGTCAAGTGAAAGCCCTAGTTTATGTACCTCTTGATGTCAATGATACACTGAAATGTTTTAGAGAAACTCTACAAAAATCTAAATATCACAGCAGAGCACTGAGACACAGCAGAAAACTACTTTCATTATTTCTTGCACACACACAAGGTGAGTTATTTATTGAAGTGTTTCTCACTTTATTAAGTGTATATGCAGTTAAAATAGTAAAGAGTGAAAGGAATAGATTTCTTTAAATTCAAGTTTTAGTTGTTTTTGACAATTAGAGAAAACATAGAATATAAATTTATATATGAAGTTCTGTAAGCACAAACCCTAAGCCTGATTTCGTATGATCTGTGCCTCATGGTTGGATGATAAATTTTTTTTCATGCAGCTGTGTCACTTGTCTGTCTGCAGCCAAACCTCTGTCAGAGAACTGACTGGCAGACCTCCCCAAGTTTATTCTCTCTAACAGAGCACATATTTTCATTTGGTTGCACTGACCAATGAGTTATGTCCAATGAGTTTAATTAGGAGACACACAGACAGAATCATAGCATAGGAAGCCAGATAAAAATAAGGTACATGGGAATTGTATATTTGTTCAAGTAATGTGGTGTGGAAATATTTGTGGTGCTGGAAATAGTATAATACTTTTCCAAACTGATCATATAAATCACTTTTCTGATCTAGAAAATGCTGGAAGAGCAATCAGCAGTCATATCTCTTCACATAGAAGGCTGGAATTTAATGTGGGAGCTGAACTGGTATTTCTACCAACACCATGTGATCTTTCTCAAGAAAAATTTTATTTCTCCAGTATGGTTGAGAGTAAACCAATACCACAGTCACAGCTTTCAGTAGTTATCTCTTCCTATGAACAAACAATAGGTAATTTATTTTTTTTTAAATTTCTGTTTACAGCTAAGATGTAATATCATTCTGCCTATCTGTGTTCATATATGTTTATTCCAGTGTTCTTTTCCTCTGTCAGACAGCTATAACTATCTAAAAGCTGGTTTCCAGAAATACACAACCTTCTTTCTGTTGATTCAGAAAATCTGCATTAGATGCCTAAAAAGCCACTAGTTGGTTCATGACCTCTACAGTTATCTCATCTTATGAAAAAGCATTACTTCAGTGGTGTTATACTGATTAATCCCAAATTAAAAATCTGCTGTAATGTTCAGCAGATTCATTTCAGTTCCATGATATTTTTTTTTCTAGCAAACAGACCTTTCGGATTTTGTGCATTTGAATATGAGACCTAGTTGTTTGGCTTCCATCTTACATTCTAGTATGGCTTTACTCAGTTACAGCTCAGCATTACTACCTGGTTTTGCTGTATGACAAAATAGGTGAAGTATAGCAGGTCAACAGATGCTGTAAGTGGTTCTATTTGAAGTAAGGGATCCAGAAATGAGCCAGGGACAGTGCTACTGTGCTGTATGCAGGCAGCATTGTTTAGCAGGGCCAATGGCCTGCTTCCCAGTTTACCTCTTGAAGAGGAAGAAATTTGAGAGGTCTGAAAAAACAAAAAACAAAAGCTTAGGTAAACAGGTCCATAAATACATCCTACTCATGTTTTTAAAGTTAGTAGAAATAAGAAATTGTACATTTGAAGGTAAAATATACAAGTCTAATAAATCTTTCAAAAAATATTCATGCATTGAATTACATGTGAATGCATGTCTACTTCTCATGCAAAATTTGTTGAAGATTCAGTAACTGATTTAATGATGTGACAATATTTTTTTCTAATTGATTAAAAAAAATAACAGGAATCCTTGAAATAAACAACCAGAGAGACCTCAAGGTTCAGGCTCTACATGAACTTGGAAATCTTCACTTTTATGCTGGAAACAAAAGGTACATAGTTATTGGATTAAGAAAGAGCATTGTTTAATTTTTTGAATTGGCATTCATAACCCTTCAACTGTCTTGTAAGTTCTTGTGCTGTCCTCAAGTCCATATAACTTCTCTCATCTAACTCACTATTAGCTATATTTTGAGAGGCTTTTTTCCCCAGAAGTTGTTTATTTTTCTTAGCTAGCTAATTGCAATTAAGCAAATTAATTAAGCATCTCTATGTGTTTTTAAGAAGTAATATCTATTGCTTGACAATTTAATTTTAGTATAAGTCCCAATAAGTCT